CGCTCGGAAAATGAATTTGGTCGACATAAAAAAGTCGACAAAAATTTCGAAACGTTTTTGAGAATACACCCCCCCCCCCCCCCACACACACACACTCGAAAAGATCCTAGATCCGCCCCTGAGAAAACTAACAAACAATTATGAATTTGTCAAGAATAGGTTGATATGAAAGTTGCACAGAAGGCTCCGACCTCAGTTTTTTTGGCAGTTGTATAAAATTAACAGTTTATGATTGATTTTGTTAACCTAACTAATAAACATCAAAATTGAACATTTCGAACAGATTTTCGCTCGAAATTCGCTCGAAATTTAAACTGATTTTCTCGATGACTCATGATATATCAAGCGACCTTATCAGGCAATTAATTTGATTGCATAATTTTGCGTAAAAATTTAAAAATAACACACCGGAATGCGAATGACTGTAGTCGTTACAAAACTTGGTATTCATAACAACAAAGGAACCCGGTTTGTGTTCAGAGTGCATAAAATTTTCCGACACAGTAAACGCTAAAAAATACAAAAAAAAACACTTTGAGATCATTGAATTGAAATTCAGAATCCTGATAGAAAGCTAATGAATATTTCATTTTTTGTTGCCTGCTGTTATGAAACTTTTTTGCCCGTAAATTAATCAAAGCAAAAAAAATCGAGCCAAATTTCAGGTCAATAAAATCACGTTTTGAAATTATATTTTAAAATCTGGACGATAGATGCAAAGGCTTATTAATCATCTTAAATTGATTGCAAAAGTTTAATTTTTCCTCGCTGTTTGTTGAAGGCAGTTTTTTTTGGCAGATTTTGCTAAATTACCACAAGATACAAATGGTCTGTTTTAGCCCGTTTTGTTGAAAAAGTGAGCCAAAGCTATAAAAGTAGATGCAATTAAAGTATTTTGTTATCCTAGTCCAATTTTGGAAAGAAAATCAAATCAACGACAAGTTTTTGGGTCTTAAGTCACCGCAATTTAATTCTAGTATTTTCAGCATTTTCAATGCATTTAAATTTTGAATTCTCATTGGCATTCATTTCTACTCTACTTAGGGTAATTTGTTCAAATCTTTAGTACACGAAGTTCCTTCACATTTTAAAGTCACAATTTAAAGTCCTTCACATTTTAATTTTAATAAAATTGAATTATTCTTCCGACCACTGAGGATCTTCGTATTCAGACTTTAGCTTTTTTTCTCCTTTTTCCTGTTTCAAGTTTTCCAAGCAAAATCTGGTAAAATCAGGAAAATTGGTTGTTAGAACCTCATCCACATGTTTTTCGAAATTATTTGTTTGGCAGTGCAAACTGCTAGGTTGTCAAATTGCCTCATCGTCTCAAATATTTTGTTTCAGCAAAGAATTGATCAATTTATTGAAAATAGGTAAAAGGAAAAAGGTTTAGTAGAGTGATTGTAAAATTATCAGTTTCAAATTCCTTCAATCAGTACTTTTGCTCAAAAGTTTGTATTGAGAAAACTCGTTTGGGTTAGAGTGATCTGCAGTCACTTTAAGAGAGTTGTTTACTGCGAACCGTCATTTTCATCAAATAAAAAAAGCACTTTAAATGTTTTCCTGGTGATAAAAAGTGGTTATTAGCAAAATTTCTTAAATTGCTATTTTCAGGATCAACTTTTTAGCGGAATCTTTTAAACGAAAATAACAAAAAACTGAAAAACTCAATCAAGATCTTTTTTCGCTTCGATTGTTTTCAATTCAAGAATTCACATCTAGTTCAAAAATCAGAACAAAAATAAAATGAAAAGCATACCCGCACTAACAAAAATGGATTAGGATTGATTTCAGTATAAAAAAATTACGTTGATTGAATTTAGATCGATTTTAGTACGAAAAAAGTACGAAGATTAAATTTAAAAAATGAAGCTTGATTTGGATCGATTTAAAATCGATTTAAATTGATCTTAAATCCCAGCTAAAAAAAATTGACCCAAATTGATTTTAAATCAATTTAAATGCAATTTTTCCAGTCTTGGTTTATTTTTATTTTTAAGGGGATTAAAACGGATGCAAATCGATTTTTTTTATTCGAGATTTATCAGTTTCAAATTTTTATTGCATTGATTCATTGCCTATCATTTTTCATTTTACATCTATAGCGTTTTGTAGCATAAAAAAGACCAAATAGTAAGACCAAAAGATTGATGAAATTCTATGATTTTTTTGCATAATTTGAGTTCATAAACTGATCTATGTTGACCCTTTTCTGGATTCATATTATAAGTTGTGCCCAAAATCTGATTTATCCTCATATTTTTCCATGGTTTAAATGCATATTAATGAGATCAAATTTTAATTTATTCTGACCTCTTTCTTGTTTGTTAAATAGGGTTTTGCATTATCTGATTTAAATAATTTTTCTATGAATTCTGCCTATTTTCGAGCTTAAAATCTGATTTATGTGGATCATTTTATTAAATTCTATAACATCTGGCACTAGTGTTTATATTTAAAAAATCGAGAAAAAAAGTTTCACCTATTTTTTCTAAAGAGTATAATTTTTTCGCCGTGTAAGAAAAAAATGATTTTAGTTAAAATGGATTTAAGTGAGCTGCTGAAGGATTTTAGTGAGTCGGAAAATCCACCCAAATCGATTTAAATAGATTTTGTAGGCACTTAAATTGATCCAAAGTTTTCAAAAAGTTCGCTTTAAATTGATTTAAAATCCATTTAAGTTCGTAAAATGTACATTGTTAATCAATTTGGATTGATATTAAATCAATATTAAATCAATTTAAATCGATCCAAAACCATTTTTGTCAGTGCGGGTACTTTTTAAAATTATTTTTTCTTTGTTCATATTCGTTGAGATTTAATAAGGTCAAGAAAACTAGTATATTGCCTGTATAAAATGATAAGTATGAAAAACATGGATTACAACCATTGTGAATTTTTTTCCATTTTTTGAATATTCTGTAAATTAACCTAGCAAGAAATTGTTTACTTCGCTTAATGTGCAATCGGAATTTTCAGGGCTTTGCCTTAATATACGAGCAAATCATGTTATTCCGACCATGAAAATGGGGATGATCTTTGTATTCGGGTTTGTTTTAGTTTTGTTTATTTTTGTTTTCCACGCAAATTCAGCTACCACATATAATGATCAGACTAGGTTGAGGGATATCAAATTAATTACATAAAATTAAAGCCCTTACACTCGTGATTGGAACCGTATTACAAAATTTGAAAAATGGTTTGAAATGTTTGGATATTTCGTCTTATTTCGAGCAAATAAAGCAAGCGAACAAGTTTATTCTAATTGCCTAAAAACCTAATTTAAAGTGTAAAACCTTAGTTTTACTTGGGTAACGTTAGTTTACTTTGAGTATTTTCAATTTTTTTCGTTTTAAAAATGTTTTCAATTTGTTTATTTTAGTATGGCTGTCGATTATACCTAATCCCCAGTTTTTTTTTCAGCTCCTTTGATCACACCACGCCGAAAAAAAACGACAATAATTTGAAAAACTTTTGTTGTATTTTAAGATTATGGTCGGAACATTCTGTGCTACTTGCACAGTAACCGGCTATCTTTGTTTTCGTTTGAAATCGATCTGAAGCCATCTTTTTCAGTGCGGGTACTATGTTCATTTTGACGCACACTTATCTTGAACCCTAATGAAAATGTATCTTTTCGATTTCTTTTCATTATGCGTAAGTGAAGACGCAACACAATCAGTGTCCTACCAACCATTAGCGTGCACTTAATTTTTAGAAACTCATTTGTGGCACATATTGAGAAAGAAACAGGCGCATAAAAGAAAACAAAAATCCAGAAAAAAAAAACAAATTGGTATTTAAAAAACCAATAAAACAAAAAACGTAGGCGAAAAAAAAACAAAAGAAAATAAAACGAGCGCGTCAAGAAACCAATAGGTCCAAAACGTTAAAAAAATACTTAAAATCAAAACTGCTATTGTTTATTATCTCCCAAAAAAGGTTGAAAAATTAGAAATAGCGGATCTAAGTATAGGTCGACCAAAATTTGCATATCTTTGGCACCACCAAAAAATTTCTGCAGACGACAGAGAACACAATTAATATTGTTCTAACCTTGGAGCATAAAAAGAAGCTGCCATCGTTGGTAATAGGGCAGGGAGATACAGTCCATCAAATTTTATACCTCAGGGCCTCTTTTCATATTCACTCTATTTTGACGGTTGGTGAGTTGAACATCTGTTTTCTTTCTTCTTTTGTCAAATATTCAATCAATCCAAAACATAAATCGATTTACACAATGAATGCCGGTTATTATTATTTCAAAGCATATGTTTACTGAACGAACCGGCTCACATATCAATTGCAGCAAATTCAAATTTTTCAATTGTATCTGTTTATTTTTGATCTTTACCACAATATCTGTTTTGTTTTCAGTTATCAATGAATTGATTGATTTGCAATTTTGTTTAAAATAGAACAAAATTGAGCGTATGAGCTCTCATCAAAGGTAATGCTCCCATAATTCATTCAAAACCTTTTTTATTTGTGTCATCCCGAATAAATTTGTTTCGATATGCCAGAGTACTCAAATTACAGGTAAATTTCTCGATTTTATTTCCCCATATTTGTTTCATTTTCCCAATTTTACAAGTAGTTGCAACCAATATTTGCATCTCTAGTCGTCTTTGATGAATTTGGCTTTTTAGGCACCCTTTTCAGGGCCTGCATAGTTTAGAATTGAAAGCAGCACACGTCTTTCTCCACAGTCAATTTTAAAATGCGACTCAGTCGCAGAAGAACATCAACTGAGTTCTTCTTTTAATCAACTCTATATCCCGTCTTAATAAATTTTACTGG